TGAATATTTTGTTGAATTTTAACTATTATTGTTGAATTTGCCTTGTAAATGTTAATTGAATATATAAGATTAAATTTAATTGTTTTATCTCAATTTTATTATGTTATTCCATAATAGAGTGTTTGATGTTACCATGAAATATAACTATTATTGATGAATTTATATATATGTTAGGTGAATATATAGAATTAAATTTTATTTTTTTCTTTATTTTATTGTTAAATTTGAATAGATGTTAGGTTATATATATGATTTTTTTCTTTATTTTATAGTTAGAAACATTTTATTATCATTTTGAAAATGAGATGAAATTGAAAAATATGAAATTTTGGGTATAAATAAAATAAAATCAATTGGTTTGTGGCATATATATTGTCAATATTTGCAGGTTTGAAAAATTTGGATAGTCTGTAGTATAGGGGAGGAACTACTGAATTTTTTTTAAATAATCAAATTTGATTATGTAATTATTCGTTCAATTTGTTCAGATGTGTAGAATGAAATCAACAGCACCTCATTAACATATGGTTGTAGCTAATTCTTCAAGGAGCGACGGTGACTTGTTCTTAGGTGTCCATCAAGAAGATTCAATAACGATGAAATATATTATTATTATAATTATAATTAATTTGCAACATTTTTTTTACAGGCTACGTCTCTTAGACATGAGGCAAGCCTAGTGGAGCTATTTTTGGAGACGCACGTGCGGAGTGAAGACCGAAAAAATAGGGTGTAACAGTTCATTGACAATCGCGCTCAACTGTTCGTGGTGTGTTCATTCAACCATTTTATTTCGTAAGTTATTATTTTATTGAATTGAATATGATGATTTTTTTTTAATTTTTAGGAGACATATAATAGCTGGTTGAGGAAGAGATATGGTAACGATCTTTTGACCTACCTAAATTTTGATCTAAATTTGTTGATAGAGGCAGGATCGTCTGGTGGACCTAAAAAAAATTAGGTGTGCAGACTCTCCAACATTATGGCCGATAACTTACGAGTGGTTCATAATGTCTTAATCGTTGGGAGCTCCCAATCAATATCGAGCACCTAGTTTGAGGAGATCGTGGCCTTGAAACAATAATATGAACAACTATTGGTGGATTATGAATAATTTTGCCAACACGTTATGGACATACGATGACATATGGGTGGTATGTGTGCACCTTTTTTTTTGCTATATGGTCTTGGGAACGCCTAACCTCCTCTTCCTCCTCAAGCTTCACCATTGTTCTAGTTCAATTTTTTTTAAAACATTTTAAAAATTATAATCAATTTTTTGATGAATATTATTTAAATTTATCTTTACATTTTTAATGTTTTATACAATTTTATTTGCTTTATTATTTTTTTACTATTATTCTATACAATTTTATATTATTCATTCTACGTAATTTTATTTGAAAAATATTTTTAAATTATATTTCTACATGATTAATTCGTCCATTTTTTTATAGAGAGTTCCAAAATATTTACTATATATGCCACAATCATCGACATCTCTACAGACAAAATGAGTCCGTTAGTATTTCACCCAGAGTTGCAAAATATTTACTATATATGTCACAATCACTGACGTTGTTATTTCACAGTAATTTTATTGGTTTTCAAGACATACGAAATGAATCCATTGGTATATTTCCAGTGGATTATTTTGCCCATATTTTTTGTTTGTAAAACCATCAATTTTTTTTCTACTAACAGAATTAGCAACAGAACATGGAATTACCAATGAACATTATGCTGACAAATGTAGTATGCCAAAAAATATAGTCCATAGGTGATTTAGTTGGTAAAATTTTTACTAACGGACTAGCAATCTTACATCGATGGATAATATCCGTTGGTAAAACTATTAAATGTTGTAGTGTCGGTATATACCAATGGATTATTTCTGTCAGTATATACTGACAAAGTTAACGATGGAAAAAATTTTATTGATAAATTTCACTACAAAATACCAACAAAAAACTTGTTGGTAATTGATTAGTACTTAAAAGTGTATTTTTATCAATTCTATTTTAACGCTTTGATTACTAGGGACTAGTAATAAGCTGGTTGGGGGGTGTGATTAGTACTAAAAGTGTATTTTTATTAATATTTTATATCATCATTTTGCACTTGAAGTATCAATAACTCCTTAACTAAGCATGTTTTATAATAACAAGTCTAATACCATAAGATACCTTTAATTTATGGTAAATATTTATCCTAAATTCAGGCCTATCGCATAAATAAAAAGATTAATATATGAGTTGAAGTATTGAAATTGAAAGGACAAAGAGAGGTCCAAACGAGAACACTGTTTGGTAATTAGGTCATATCTGGAGCTGTTGATCTCAGATTTAGGTTTGCTTTATATGGATGAAAAGCTAAGACATAGGCCTAAATCTTTCATACAAAAGTTAAGACTCAATTCTACTGTTTGGAAGTTCAAATCTTAGCAAAAACGTAAAAGTCCGAATATATTCTGCAGCCCAGACACTGTTTAGTGTTTAGCCCATATCTCAAGTTTTAGAAGTCCAAATGGCCTCAATTTTTTTCTAGAAAGCTGAGACAATTTTCTAAAATGTTTATGTGGACATCTAATTCAAATTCTGACGTTATCAATGATGTTTTATTCAGACAAGAAGATAAGGATTGTCACCAATTCAAGATGTAGCCACCCACTCAACAATTAGTTATCAAATCAATAGTTAAAAATCTTGACCTATAAAAGAAGACATTTGTTATGCATTTAGGCATCTTGGTTTCCAGATCAATATCATGATCTTGCTTTCTCTCTTTGTATTTTTGTAATGCTTAATTTTTTCTTTTATTAATATCTTGTTTATGCCTTTCATTTCTTTTCGTTTACTTAGTTAATTTTTATTTTATTTATGTTTTTATCTTATTTATTTATGTTTCTCTCTTTTATTATGTTTAGCTAAGTTTATTATGTCAAAGTGAAAAGGTTGTACTAATAGTATAAGAATAAGTATAGTGTAAACTCAACATGGATTTTAATGTTTGATACTAACATATTTTGCATTTGTTATCTTGTTCACTCTTAATATTTTGCTTGTTAAATGGTTAATCTAGATTTATGTTATATAACACTTAGTACAACAAATACTTGACACTTTCATAGCCCAATTGTATGGTATAAGCGATACTTGTGCTATAAAAGAAACTTGATTTGTTGTTAACATAAGTTATAATCATGAATACCTGATAATATTTACAAATATTAGCATTATTTAAAATCTGATTAGAACCTTCTTTGTGTGTGGTTTCCAATTCAATAATAAGAGTTTATACTATACTTGTTTGAAATACCATTAGTGGATCTTCTAACCTTGATATTTGTTGTTATCATTGTTTAATCCTCACATTAATCTTCCATTTCAAAGTTCTCATCAACTTTTGCTTCTTCTTCTTCTACTATTGTTGTTGTTGTTGTTGTTATTTATAAATTATACAATTAACCTTTTTGTGGTTCGACCCCGGTCTTTCCAAGTTATTTATTACTTCGACACTCTTGCACTTGGGAGAAGACATTAATCTTTTGGTTATGCTAGTAATTCCATTTATATTTGTTAAATTTCTAATAATGACTAGCCTAAAACCTCAGATAAAATAAAAAATAAATTTGTATGTAAAAATTACCAAAGATCAAAGATTTGATAGAAATAACATATGAGATATTAAAGGAGTGGAATGATTGTAAATAAAAGGAAAATTTCCCCTCTCTTTTTATAAATGGCAGGCAACAGTTTCGAAAGGGAAGAAAGCTTGACTTTTGTTCTTCCTCTCCATCCCCTCTCTTATTTCTCTCAAACTGGATAGAATAAAGAGTTTGAACTAGATAATTTCTACCAAAGAAGCTAAATCAAATTAACAAACCTTAGAGATAGAGAGATGTTGAGAGTTTAGGAGATAGAGAGAAATGTGACAAAGAGGAAGAGAAATAAGGGATTTTTGGATTTTATTGCAAAAGACTCGTTAATTTGGGTCAATTAGTTATGGTAAGAGATTTTGCTTCACTTAAATGCACCTGTCTTCTTGATTTTTGATGGGGGATTGATAATATCCAATTTTGAATTTTCAGGGTTTATGTAATTTTGAATGGAAATTCCAAATTATATAATTCATAGTTATTTAGGGTTGTGAAGACATGAATAAAGATTAAATTGAAGAAATTAAAAACCAATTATGAAAATTAAAATATGAAAGTGCCAACCATGGTTAGAAGTTTTGGAGGATTTGGGAATTTGACTAAATCAAGTTAATTTTGATGTTTTAATGATGTTGGAGAATGCTTAAGATTGGTTTTGAATATTGTAATATTGCTTGCTAAAAATTTAGTTATTGTTGTTATATTTTGGAATTATGAAAGTGTAGAAATTTAACTAAATTGGGTTGATTTTTGTATTTTAAATGATGTTTTTGTGATTGATCTTTATTTGTATGATGATGGAATTGCGTTTGATTATAATTGTAATTCATGTGAATTAAAATGCATAGATATTGAGTTATATTTATTAAATGTGGAAAGATGGAAGTTTGAAATTGGGTACGGAAATATTAGTTTGGTTGGATTTTGTTATTTTATGATAGAAATGATATATATTAGGAGGCTAATTTATATTTTTATTATTAACCACAGATTGTGAGCCAAGGGTAACCAATTATCGTTCGAGAAAATTAGAGGATTACAAACTTTAAGCTTGGAATTGTATGAATAAGATATGATGATGTTAATTTGTAGTATTTAGTTTAATTACGAAATCCATCATAATTATGGAATCCATCTCTATTCTATTTATATGGGATGAAAAAGAGATATTTTTTCCTTAATGATACCAAATTTTGGCCCTTAATTCAACCTCAAAGTATCCCAACCAATAGTCAAAAGAGGCTATCATGGCCTAACAAAGTTACTGTAGAAAGGCTGATCAAGTTAGCCACTTTAAGGCGATCCAACAACCATTATGGTGTCAATTGACCAGAACGGATTACACTGGGGTGTAATTAGATGTCAGACCATTGTTTGCGTACAAGTTTTGCCAAAATTGGTAGAGAGATGAATCATTAAATGCCTTGAGAAGATAGCCCCCTAAACATCCTTTTCGAGTGAAAACCTGAAGAAAAGATGAATAGTTTACTCAAAACAACACCATTTTGGTAAAATTTATTTTAGTCCTTTGATTTATGATTTCTTTCAATTACACCTCTAATTGTCATCAAACTTTCAATTTTGCCCTTAACAAACTTCAATTTCTTTAGGTACTTAGTTTTAGATTTCTTTAATTTAACCCTTAATTGACCATTAAACTTTCAAATCTCTTAAATTTCACTCTTGATTTTAGCTAATTGGATGCCCATAGTTCGACGCCTTTTTCAAAATGATCTTTAACCATGAATTTCTTCAATCTAGCCCTTAATTGACTCCAAAATTTTGATTTTCTTGCAATTTTATCTCTGATTTCAATTAATTAACCTGGTAAAAATTAAATTTGATCTTTTAAAATCTTAATTTTTTTAATTAAGTCTAAATTGAGCTCCCAAACTTATTTTTTCACCAATTAAGTCCCTAATAAAATTAATTTAACCCATTTAAAGTATAATTAACTCCTTGTACCTAATTAAACCCTTCAACTGCACCTAAATTAATTCATAACATAATTAAACTTTAATTTGGTTTATAATTAAATCAAATTGGCCTATTAAAAATCTAATTATGTCCTTAGACCTAATTTTTATGTAGATTTGTTCAATAATCATCTAGTTTTGTTGAAGAAACTTACCTCAACCTTTTCTTTTTTCGCTACAGAATCCCAATCCTTTGCAGCAATTCCAATTTTCCAGTCGAAGCTCAGAGTTTCACCTGTAGCTGGTTCCTGATGACCATCTAACGTGAAGCATGCTAAGTAGTTACCACCCTCCGAGGTTGTAAATGCAAACTGACCATGAGTCGCATTTTCCTTGTGGTGAAGATTGTTTCCATATGGTGATGTTACCTAACAAAATAGACAAGAATTAAAAGTTGAGCAAAGAAAAAATCCATCTCCCAACTATTCATTAGCACATACTTGTTGCTGAAGATAGAATCTTGTACATGATTGAATGAAGGGAGAAATTAGTGTTATTGACATGCCAACCATAAAATCACAAGATTCAGGATACATCATAGTTGTTTTCCATTTAGTTCTGTTTTCTTAGTAGTGAAATCACAACTGTTTGCACATATGTGTTCTTTACGTGGGAGGAAGAAGGTCAGGCTTAAATAGCTGAATATCTAACCTAAAAATAGTTGGCAAAGAAAAAAAGATCATATAAACAGCTATCAAAGGAAACATTGTCGTCCTGCATTTTTTTGGCCAGATTGATTTCAACATAAGGATCAAACACCATTTATTTCCATAGTAGATCATACAACTTTGACGTGCCCTGGAAACTAAAAAATTCAAAATAGAAAATTATTTGATTTAATTGGCCACTGGTGAGAAAGGGACATTTCCTGAAGATATGATACTTGAATAATCTTCAGACATAACCCAATATTTACACTGATAAAATTATGTTGCAGCCCACAAAATGTTTTGAAAGAAAAATTACAAGAATCATGTCTCAAAAGTAATCTTAGCTTTAGCAGCACCGCAAATATCAATCATATGGTTTTCGAGGAAAAAAAAATAGAGAAGAAAAAATCTCACATTAAATTTCACTCCCTTAACACAAACCCCAAACACTCTCATGTTAGGGTTTATTCTACCTAATGGATGCAAAAACCCCTTAGAATCATCATGCTTAGCTATAAAAGAAGTTTTGCCGTAACCACTTCATAGAAAGCCCATAAAGAGCCAAACACAACTAAATGCAAGAACACTAATGTAAAGAGATGAAATGCTAAAATAGGTTCCCTCGTCATCATACTTCATAAAAGCCTGCAATGTTGTGCCATCTTAATTATTTAAATCCCTGGCAAGATATTATTGGGAATTTCGATCGGTAATGTACTGATATTTACTCATAAGAGGGCCAAACACACTGACACAATATTTACGTGGTTCGGCAAAACCGCCTACATCCACGGGAGAGAGTCTATATTATTAGAGATTAGAGAAAGAATACAAAACAAATACATGGAGGAGAAAGATCATTTCTCTCTACTCTATTTCCAGCTCTCTTTGCTGCACTTGCAGCTGCTGCAATGGCAGCAAGGCTGCTGCCATTGCAGCTCTCTCTTTCTCTCTTCTCTCTTCACATTCTCACAATCCTCTTCTCATCTTGCTCTCTCTCTCTTGGTGCCCTTTTATAGGCAACCATGACATCTCCTCAACAATGGCTACACATAGGTTGATACATTTGTCAATGGTGGGTGCAATTACCATTGACAAATGGAACCCTACTTCTTAGGGTAGGTTGCCCATTAATGGCAAATCCTAACAATCACCCCCTTTGACATTTATATGGGTAATTGTCCTCTTTCTTCTTCAGCACAAGCTTGCATCCTGCAGCTCTTCCAAGCTTTTCATTCTGAGAGCGTTTGTGGCCAAGTTTACAGGTACTTGCCAAACCTTTCAATCATCAGAGTAACTAAAGCACACCTTTTCTCACACAAAAGGATCACTACAACCAGATGGTCTGCCACATCACATCTGAATAGTGTTAACGCTTGTCTCTGGAACAACATTCCCCTTCGAGCGTATCAACCATGCTCGGTCCGGAATGATTCATCAAGCCTTATATCAAGGCTTATAACACCCCCTCAAACGGATATTTCAAGTGCGACAGTCATTATCTGAATATCTCAATATGATCACAAGCTCACCACTCTTTCAAGAGTCTACTCGTCTGCCCTCTGTTCCACCCTAGGAACCACGCCTTACTTCTCCGTGAGTCTCTCGCTCTTAGTCTCAAGAGTCCAGGTAGCTTTCCACCTTTAACCATAAGGGCAGCCCATTAAAGGTTGATCCATATATGTCTTGATACTCTGGGTATTACAATGCCATTACTAAGCTCACCACTTTGACAAGAGTCAACTTGTTCCCGGAACCTGCGCATGCCCTCTGCTCCTTCATAGCAGCTGCATCTTAATGCTCCACAAGTCATCCACTTATTATCCAAGGCAAATGTCTTCTAGCTCATTGATCTTTAGCATGGGGGCAATATCCATGAAAGTTAATCTTGTATTTGTCTTTATACTCATCATAGCCACTTCATTGGCTATCCATATATGCATCTGTCCACTCATACCTAGCCATCACATTGGCTTTGGGGCATTTTGAACTAGGCTCCTTTGATGGCCCTCACACCTTCTCCTAAGGTGTCTCCGCTCGTCGTCATGCGGCGGTCTGATCATGGGCTCATCTCAAAGCCCTCACACCTTCTCTTTAAGGTGTCTTTGCCTTTTATAGGCGGTCGCATCCTCCTTTAGCTGAGATGCTTCAAAGTGGCTCCATAATTTTTTTTGCCATTGATTACATAGAAAGAGAAAGTTACGGTATACTCCTCGCAATCCTCCACCTCGATTTCTATGTTTGGAGCTTCTACGTCTTTCATCATTGCACTTGACAGCTCCACCTACACCAACTCTCTTTGGTGTCTTCGCCTTTCATCATAGGCGGTCGCCTTTTATCACAGGCGTTTGCACCCCCTCAATTAGGTGCATCTGCAACAGCTCATCTTTCCATCCTTGCATGCATTGAAAAGGTCCTCGCTTGTTGCCTTTATCAAGAGCATAAGAGACTTCCTGTTGTACAACCTTTACACAGTCTCTGCTCTGAGCTTCATTTGGGAACTCTTCTTTTCCTTGCACTTGTTGTCTCATTATAGTACCTTGTTGGATCCTTCGGGTACTCCTGCACAATCTCCGTGTGTCCTCGTGCATTTTTGTTCTCCAGATTTCTCCTTATTCCTTGCTTATGTTTGACAACAGCTCATCCTGTCACAACACCTATCCAAGTCAAAATAGGGTGCCAATCTTTATCCCTCTGCTGTATTTCTCTTCCATTATCAGGGTCTTCATCATTTCTCCCCTCGAGAAATTACAGTCACCGAATCTAACTTACTTTGAGAAATCACCACTTCATCATATCCTTGATCATACGGAACCCAACTGTTCCTTTGTGCCGTCATCCTGCTAGTCTTCAACAGTTTCATAACAAACTGTCACATATACGAAAATAGTACCGTATGGATAATTCTTCCACTAAGCAGGTTCCCAGGAAAGATTGGAGGGGTCACAACGGTCCCGCTTAAAACCCAATCTCCTAGCCAGAACTTCTTAGGCCATATCTATCCATCGTACTATCTTTTCGTATATACAACCATTTGCTAGCTTTGTCGCGGCTTTCCTTTACAAGTAATATGGGGTATCCTGGTTTTATACCTGATTTCTCAACATCTGGCGAGACTACCAGTGCTCAGATTCGTCAAGATTGGTCTTTATCAAATTTCACTCTCCACCTCAAATTGTCCTCATGATCGGGTGTTTAGAGTGTCCCAATTTTGCCTTCCCTCAAGGCAATTAAAATTCCCCACATAACACTTTAACACATGTAATTAGGCAAACATGTGTGATTTCTTCTTCTTCATCTCCATCGACCACCATGATGATCATCAGATGCCTCATGATCGGGCAATTTCTCTTTAATAATTCACCATTGTCATTTATGATCTCAATCTCAATGATCGGACCATACCATTGCATCCGGAATGATCAAATTAGCTGGAAACAAGTCTTAAATCGTCCAAATCGCACTTCAGATGACTAAGATTTGATCAAAACAATTCTAGCTTGATAAACGGCCTAGATTCAATCTCAGAACCGGTTGCACATAGACTCCGCCACACAGAATCCTGTCCCTCAGCTCGGCTGGTGACATGGTAGTGGGTCCCACAGTGCTGACGTGGCTGCTGACATGTCATGCCACCTATTCATGCTGACGACACTATGACGTCATGATCCGGATCTCGCGCGTGGGTCGGATCTTCTGATATTTGGGTCGGGTCAGCCCATCCGGGTGAAGAAGACGCGTGTGACACGTGGCGCGCGTCTGCGCGCGTGTCCATTCACCCCGCCGGCGCGTGCGGCGGTTTCCGACGTTCGATTTCGACACGGTTTTCACCAGTGGCTTCATCTCTTCCTCCTCTACATAGTGGTATGGTCAAAACACAATTTTGACAACTTTCATTTTTGAGCAAAATCAAACACCACTTTAAACCATGTGCTCTGAAACCAATTGTTGGGACTTTCAACCGGTGATGTACTGATATTTGCTCATAAGAGGGCCAAGCACACTGACATAATATTTACGTGGTTCGGCAAAACCACCTACATCCACGAGAGAGAGTCTATATTATTAGAGATTAGAGAAAGAATACAAAACAAATATATGAAGGAGAAAGATCATTTCTCTCTACTCTACTTCTAGCTCTCTTTGCTGTACTTGCAGCTGCTGCAATGGCAGCAAGGCTGCTGCCATTGTAGCTCTCTCTTTCTCTCTACTCTCTTCACATTCTCACAATCCTCTTCTTATCTTGCTCTCTCTCTTTTGGTGCCTTTTTATAGGCAACCATGACATCTCCTCAACAATGGTTACACATGGGTTGATACATTTGTCAATGATGGGTGCAACTATCATTGACAAATGGTAACCCTATTTCTTAGGGTAGGTTACCCATTAATGACAAATCCCAATTCTCATGTGACAGAGATTGTCTTCAGCAATAAACTACTATCTACAAACTTAACCATTTGCCGTCGATCATTGTCTATAATGTAAACTTGGTGTTGTGGAATTAACAATCGAAACAATGTATTTAGACAAGAAGAAGAAGCACCAGAACCAACTTAACTAGGAAGTAATTAGCAGAAAAATATTACAGATTTCTTTCACTAAAACAAATTACTTCTATAAAAATCAACGTGATGTTAATAAAGCATTAAATAGGCGTTCCAATGGAAATTCAATAAATCTAGACATAATAAAGTTGTTCATTTGGGCATTTATCTTATCGAGGATGTGCATTAAAAAATCTAAAAAAAGAAAAATCTTACTTTTACAAACATCAAAAGGAGATCATAAAATTCAATCCTAGACATCCAACCACTACATCTGAGATGGAGAAATAAAGCTCAAAAAGCAACATTAAAAAAAAAATGAATAATCAAAGCTGATAAGATGACTAACGATTAATCAATAATGAGCATGACCTAATCAAAATTATAGAATTACGAAATCTAACAGCGTATACAAGGATTTGCGCTTAATTTAACTTTTAGCATGATAGTGATTGGGTTTGATTTTGTATGCACAGTTTGATAAAATCTCAATTGTGAAAGTTTTAGGTTTTGTTTTTATAAAAATATTATAATATTATTTTGATGACAATGTTGTAATATTTATATAAATATCTTTTAGTTATTAATTAAAATATAATGGTACTTCTGGAAATAATCTAAATTTGTTTGTCTGATTTTTTTTAGACGATGTAAAATGGAAGCAAATAGAATTGAAAAGAAAATTGAGGAAAAGTGAAAATCACATAATAAAATGATAATCACGATAATTATCCCTTTAGCTAATCTGTATTCTATTCACATGTAACATGTACAGTAATGTATAAATCTGCATAGCTTCATCAATTTTGTTAGATATCTCCTCACAACAACGGCTTTCTATGGCTAAATTCAAGCCAGCGGGACTGGAGCCTCTGGAAAAGCATTCATAGGAATTTCTGCGTTGGCTACTCTTCTAGTGAAGTGCTTCCTCAGAGAGAACCAACGTTTCAGTGCTAGAGCTGAGATAATTCTCAATATGTTTCCATGCCTCAACAAATTAGTGCGACAGACGTATATGACGAAGGCAATTGTTGTTGTGCCTCCAGTTATAAAGAAAAGTACTCGGAAGCCACTGGGTCCAAGGCTGGAACTTTCACTCTGCATCTGCGGGCATTTTTGTGGGGAAATCCATGTCTTCTCTAGTTCTTTTAGCGTTCCATTTTCTGATATTTTCAGTAGAGCCTCATTCACGCCAGCAAGTAATGGAGATCCACGCGGAAACGCCTGGTAAACAAATTAACCATGTAAAAATTTAATCACTCCTTAAGTTCATGTGTAATTCATATATATATGTATTTGTATGTGTTAGTATTTCGAAGCAAATAAGCCTAAGATTAGGCATGTGTCTTTTACCATAACCTACTAATTTATTCAACTTATATCTAATGATTCATTGAACCTATCTAAGTGATCTCTCTCCTACTAATTTTGTTCAAAATCAAAGATTTCATTGCTAGTTTCCTTTGGTCAAACTTAACACCTTGTAACTTGTGGTCCAGCCTACCTACAAAGTCAACAAAAAGCCTCTGAACCTAACACAAATTTTACAAGAACTAATCCTACATGCATAGTTTGGTTTGGCCCGGAAGAATGTAAATTAGCAATAGTAATTTCAGGAAAATTATTAATGAACGGAAAAGGTGAATAAATATGAGCGCGAGATCTTACAAATCCAAACCCTCCAATTTTGTACGTTGGTCCAATTTGGATGAAGCTATTGCAGTATTTTGCAAGGAATATCTTGGCATAGGGAGTTCCAAGAAAGGCAGCAGAGATATTCTTGTCCTCGAAGCCTTTAGCATAACTTGCTGCTGACCGAAAATGCTGCAAGTTATGGCTCTTGAATTTTAAAACTTCCGCCAAATATCTTTCCATATAGGAACCTGTACAATATCCAACCCTTGCATTGCTATTTAATAGTTCTTCAACGCTTGGTATAGTGGGTTCAAGCCTCTGTACAGTTAGCATGCTTGTGAGGTTGGCTGTGTACGTCTGGATGATGATTAGAGCCACAAACAGCCACACCACCCCTGACATCCTTGATAGATTGCTATGAAGCTTTGGCCCTAACTCAAATGGTTGTCAGCAAGATATTGTTAATTAATTGCTTGTTAAAGGATTAGTTATATATTTTCAAAAGTTCAAATCAAAGAAGGAAACTGATTGGAACTAAAAACTTCAATTTACCATTCAAGGAGAAAAGAGTGTTGAAGGATAACCAAATCATGATCCCAATTTGATTTGGGATGGAGCCTTGTAGTTCATCACAATGCTTTCGTTCTATCCACCAAACAACAAAGCCATTGTAGACTGTAGTCACTGAGATTAAAACCCACATGGTTGTGGTGAATGGTTTAACGAATGACCATGCTTTACTGCTCGAACGAGCCGGGACGATCAACACCAATCCTGTTTCAGTATATGGATTGGTGAATTCTGCATATTGGTATCTGCTTGAAACTATTTCCACATCACCAACTACTGCGTCAAAGTTCTGGTGTTGTGGGGAAAAAGTCCAAGTACAACAAAGTATGATTAGTCTAAAGTGTTTTTTTTCTTCGTTTTTTTTCAGAATATGCGTGCATGCATGATAAATTAATGAAAATTTAAATAAT